TGGGTTGATTAATTTGTTGTTTTTAGGATGTTGTTTGTTTGTGTTTGTGTGCGTGTGTAATTTGGTGGTGCTGAGTGTTGTGTTTTTCTTGTTTGTGTTTTTTAAAAAGGTCCAACAAAAAATTGATCATAACAGCAGGAGATAGTAAGTCTCCTTCTAATCAAAGCACATTTTTTAGTTTTCTATTTGTTCCTCCTTTAATTCAAGCAACTCCATTAATCAATGTATAGCAGGTAAACTCCATTACTCAACAAACAAATTTAGTAATCGTGTCATCATCAAATAAAAACAGAAAATCAAATCGTATCAACCAATAATAAAGAGTCTTAATAATTATATAAAAAGAAATTTGAATGACGGATGGTGTGTGCCTATAATCCAAGCAAATGATACCAAGTGAAATGCTTGTCCACACGTCGTCGCCTACCATACCAAGTTTTTTGGGTTTCCCCATTAAATTTGTTGGTGTCGACTATCCAAGACGCATTAGACACTAAATCATAGCAATGCAGTTGTGCTCCAGCACCCTTGATATCCAACACCAAAATATTACCCTGAATGCTCACTACTTTTGTGTTACGCGTTACTTGAGGGATGTGAGCGCTCCACGCTCGCGAGGGGCACCTATTCTTTTCCCAATCAAAATTCACGGCATACTTTCTTTCCCATAACCATTTTGTGTAGTCCACAAGAACCCAAACGTCCACTACAGTCTCCGCATAGCGCACGTAGCAACAACACAAGTCCTCACCTCCTTTGACCACCATTTTAGGCTCACCAACGAGTGGGGAAGAACCTTTCCAGTATAGCTTCTCGGTATTTATGTCGAAAACAATAAAGCCAGACAAATGCCGCCAAATCATAGCTTTTTTCGTCACCACCAATGGGTCGAAGCTTTGTGGGGGATAATGAGAATCTTCGGGAGTCAGAATTGTCCTCCACTTGTGGGCCCCGAATTCGTAAATGTGGTACTCGTAACCGTGCTTTCCTATCTGCGTCACATGGAGAAG